GTTTGTATGGGGCTTTATTAACTCAATGATTTTTTTTAACATTGTTTTCAAACTGATATGTGACAGATATTAATGCCAAAATAACATGCAAAACAGGCCAAAAAAACAACAACAATTAAACAAAATAAAAATATTTTCCCTGAATGACAGGTCACCACTGATCATTTCATCCAAACTGCTCGCGGGCGTCAACCAGCATCTGCGCTAAAATATCATTTGGTTCTATTTTTGATGCGTGATGTGCTGCAAATCCCGCCTCTCCCATCTCCTAATTGGTTTTTAGCAGCATATACCCACGTGGGTGATTGAAAGATGACCTGAGGTCCACACTCCAGTCCAGTTGGTGATGGTAATGCACCTTAAAGTTGGTTGCCCACCGCCAAATAAAAGTCCTCAGAAGAAGAAGAAGAAGCAGAAGACTGAAGGAGGAGAGATTACTAGAAACTAACTAGGTTTTCTCTTTTATCTGTGGATTAATTGTCGGAGTAGAGAACACATGATTTTGTGTGCCCCAAAATGGTTCAAAATTCTACAAAGATCCAGAAAAAAGGACCTTGTGCATTTCAGGTAAAATAACAACCCAATGTTTATATCCCAGGACAAATTAATTAGCAACAGCAAGCTAGCTAGCTAAATTGCATTGAATGTTTCATGTATTTCAACCTGTCCCCAAATTAATATAGTAGTTTCAGAGTTCGTTTTGATATTTCAACCTGCGTGTCCTGATCGCGTCTGGTGTGGATGGACAAAATCAACATTTCAACTTCAAGGAGTCCCAAGGATCCCGCACAGCATGGACCATTGTTGTACTTTGAACAGGAAGTGCTGCAGTAATTTTCAACCAGGCAGTAATAATAGAACACCAATTCAAATATGTACTTTGTGAAAAGGGGTAGTAGGCAAGCTAAGGAAAATATTTCACTTGATAATTTCCATGAGTGCTTATAAATGAGTATAAATGCTTTATGAATATTTATAACATTTATTAATTTATCAAACAATCTTTCAATTGGTTTGATAAATTAATAAATGTTATAAATATTCATGAATGAATGCTTCTAAATGTAATACTACATTTTGAAATACAAATTTACTAGTAGTAGTATCTTAACTATTTATGAATTGATTCTATCCATAAAAGTTATTATAAAGTGTTTAAGATTCATTTCCATGAGCCTTCTGCAGCTTAACAATAAAATACACTTTCGTCAGAAATCAATTCTTGTGAGAATCATTTTTCCAACTCAACACTCATAAAGATGTAATAACACATGATAACACACAATAAATATTGACAAAAAAGTATGTATTTATCAAAATCCTCTCAAGAAGCCCAGCCATATGAACAAAGCATAGTATATAGTTCTCAAATTGGAGCAAACAACAATCATGCCACGATTGTTATTTTAATTCTTAGGAGGTGTGTGTGTGTTTCCATGGAAGACGCATTACTGTTAGTCCAGTATTGGTGATCCACATTGGTCAGGAAAGGAACAGGGCATCAGTGGATTGTGTCATTATAGACATTGTCATTGTCCTAAATATCTGTAAGGAGGAGAGGAGGTCAAGAAAGGGGTTAAAACGCCTTATGCTTTTCCTACTAAGTATACAAAACATTTCTAGGAAGTCAGCCGGCCAGGACAATGACGTTGTAGTCTATCCACTAGCTTGACTTACAGTAATACTTCCTGCGTAGCACCCTTCACTCCCCTCAGACATGCTCTCTATCTCCTATTAGGTATAACGCTATGAAGGAGGTTATGCATATTCAAATGGTTAAAATATTTATCCTAATGTAATTAATTGCAGTTGTTGTAAAGCAAGCCTCTCTGTTCTTTTAAAAAGATTATCGTAAATGTAAATATATTTTAAAAGTTTGTATTATATAGACATAATTTGCCAGTCTTTCGTTTTATATGTCGGTCATGTAAATTTCCTCAGTGCACTGTAAACTCTTGGGCTTGTTATAACTTATAATGACATATTATTTACATTTTACATTTTAGTCATTTAACAGACGCTCTTATCCAGAGCGACTTACAGTTAGTGAGTGCATACATTTTTTTTTCTTCATACTATTATATTATGTGTTTGGAGGCTTATTGAAGACTTGTTACAATTATTGAAGATGATATGATGAATCAACTCAGAAATGTGGATCAAAATCACACTGCAATCCTTAGAAGTCCAACTTTTATGTAAATACACTGAGTGTACAAAACATTAAGAACATGACATAGACTGACCAGGTGACAGCTATGATCCCTTATTGATGTCACTTGTTAAATCCACTTCAATTAGTGTAGATGAAGGCGAGGAGACAGGTTAAATAAGGATTTCTAAGCCTTGAGACAATTGAGACATGGATTGTGTACAGTGGGGAAAAAAAGTATTTAGTCAGCCACCAATTGTGCAAGTTCTCCCACTTAAGAAGATGAGAGAGGCCTGTAATTTTTATCATAGGTACACGTCAACTATGCCAGACAAAATGAGAAAAAAAAATCCAGAAAATCACATTGTAGGATTTTTAATGAATTTATTTGCAAATTATGGTGGAAAATAAGTATTTGGTCAATAACAAAAGTTTCTCAATACTTTGTTGTATACCCTTTGTTGGCAATGACACAGGTCAAACGTTTTCTGTAAGTCTTCACAAGGTTTTCACACACTGTTGCTGGTATTTTGGCCCATTCCTCCATGCAGATCTCCTCTAGAGCAGTGATGTTTTGGGGCTGTCGCTGGGCAACACGGACTTTCAACTCCCTCCAAAGATTTTTTATGGGGTTGAGATCTGGAGACTGGCTAGGCCACTCCAGGACCTTGAAATGCTTCTTACGAAGCCACTCCTTCGTTGCCCGGGCGGTGTGTTTGGGATCATTGTCATGCTGAAAGACCCAGCCACGTTTCATCTTCAATGCCCTTGCTGATGGAAGGAGGTTTTCACTCAAAATCTCACGATACATGGCCCCATTCATTCTTTCCTTTACACGGATCAGTCGTCCTGGTCCCTTTGCAGAAAAACAGCCCCAAACATGATGTTTCCACCCCCATGCTTCACAGTAGGTATGGTGTTCTTTGGATGCAACTCAGCATTCTTTGTCCTCCAAACACGATGAGTTGAGTTTTTACCAAAAAGTTATATTTTGGTTTCATCTGACCATATGACATTCTCCCAATCCTCTTCTGGATCATCCAAATGCACTCTAGCAAACTTCAGACGGACCTGGACATGTACTGGCTTAAGCAGGGGGACACGTCTGGCACTGCAGGATTTGAGTCCCTGGCGGCGTAGTGTGTTACTGATGGTAGGCTTTGTTACTTTGGTCCCAGCTCCCTGCAGGTCATTCATTAGGTCCCCCCGTGTGGTTCTGGGATTTTTGCTCACCATTCTTGTGATCATTTTGACCCCACGGGGTGAGATCTTGCGTGGAGCCCCAGATCGAGGGAGATTATCAGTGGTCTTGTATGTCTTCCATTTCCTAATAATTGCTCCCACAGTTGATTTCTTCAAACCAAGCTGCTTACCTATTGCAGATTCAGTCTTCCCAGCCTGGTGCAGGTCTACAATTTAGTTTCTGGTGTCCTTTGACAGCTATTTGGTCTTGGCCATAGTGGAGTTTGGAGTGTGACTGTTTGAGGTTGTGGACAGGTGTCTTTTATACTGATAACAAGTTCAAACAGGTGCCATTAATACAGGTAACGAGTGGAGGACAGAGGAGCCTCTTAAAGAAGAAGTTACAGGTCTGTGAGAGCCAGAAATCTTGCTTGTTTGTAGGTGACCAAATACTTATTTTCCACCATAGTTTGCAAATAAATTTATTAAAAATCCTACAATGTGATTTTCTGGATTTTTTTTCCTCAATTTGTCTGTCATAGTTGATGTGTACCTATGATGAAAATTACAGGCCTCTCTCATCTTTTTAAGTGGGAGAACTTGCACAATTGGTGGCTGACTAAATACTTTTTTTCCCCACTGTATGTGTGCAATTCAGAAGGTGAATGGGCAAATGTGGCGCTGGAGGAGGCAAGCCCTCTTGCCGCGCCCTTCCAGCAGCTTTCCGGCACCTTCCCTGTTGTGAGGCTAATGGAGACCAGCTGAGGGTAATAAGTCAATCAAGTGTGTGATTGGCTGGACAATCAGCCCCAACAGTTGATTAGGCTGCTGCTGCTCCCATTTGAGGGAGAGGGCTGGCGACAGAAGCAGACATGTTGGGGCTGAAAGACTCTCAGTTTAAGCTAACCTTTGTTATGTGAAGTTATACTTAAATTGTCTTATTTGTAAGCATTTCTGTTGGTCAATTATGAAATAAAACCTAAGTTTGAACCGTTTACTCTGCCTCACTAAGTCTCTGTACCCTGAGACCCACTTAGCTCTGGTCCGTGGCCTCTCCCCAGGCTCTGGCACAGCAAGACAAAACATTTAAGTGCCTTTGAACAGGGTATGGTAGTAGGTGCCAGGCGCACCGGTTTGTGTCAAGAACTGCAACACTGCTGGGTTTTTCACGCTCAACAGTTTCCCGTGTGTATCAAGAATGGTCCACCACCAAAAGGACATCCAGCCAACTTGACACAACTGTGGGAAGCATTGGAGTCAACATGGGCCAACATCCCTGTGGAATGCTTTTGACACCTTGTCGATGCCCTGACTAATTCAGGCTGTTCTGAAGACGGGGCGGGGGGGGGGTGGGGGGTGCAACTCGATATTAGGAAGGTATTCCTAATGTTTGGTATATTCAGTGTATATTACATGAACTCATTTCACTTTCGACTTCAAATATACACTTATTTACAGCATGATTCACTCAAAATAACATACTGTTGATATGATCGACATCGTCATAAACATCGTCCCCTTCCCTGAAAAGGAATATTGAAAACCGTATTAACCAGAATATTATGACAGTTGTCGACAGCAAAACATGATACCTGTGACTGAATACCAGGGATTCTGGATTCATATTCTATCAATAATTGTGTTGAATAAATATATAAGAAACCTACACCTGAAGAAGAAGAACCCTGGGCACATATCCATCTGTGAGAGAAAGAAAATGAATCAACAATTAAAAGAATGACATGCTAACAAAATGTATCAAAACAGGTCATTTTCTGGAATCTCTTATTGATTAGGCTGTACCACAGACAAAAGGGGAAACTTTTTAGTTAGTTACCAGTATCTTTGGCTGTACTACAAACATACATTGCCCAGTAGCCTAATCAGATATAAAACAGACTTTTACAGACTTGTCACAAGAAGGTGACGTATTCGCATACATTTCCCCTGCTTGTTGCGACACAGGGCTTTGTTGTCACTGGTGACTTGAATGACCTCCAGGATCTCTCCTTGAACCACAGCTAGATCCATCCCTCCTGCCTTCTTGATGCTTGCGTTCGGGTCAACCATCATGCTGTGTAACACGAAAATCGGTCCCTCAAACTGACAGAACAAAATAAAAGTTATGTTTACTTCTTTTTTCATATGACTTGGTAATCATTAAGTAGGCTAATAGTGAGTGATCAAGCTTTTCAGTGTGCACATGAATTGCGGTAAAGGCCATTTTCAACAGTTTCTTGAAGATATGCAAGAAGAGCAAAAGATTTACCTTAAACTTTTTTCTAAACTCCTTTTCGTTTTTCTCCAGCGTCTTTCTCATTATTGGATCTAGACTGGAACATAAAGACGAACATCCTTCTGTGTGATCACAAAAAGTAGTTTTTGTCCTCTTTCAGTAGCTAAATGTATTTATTATTTCTTATTTGTAGCCATTAGCAACTACTTTATTTATATTCAGTGCAATGCATGCAACAGACAGACAAGCTAAACTGTATACAAACTTTCATTTTCATGTTTGAAGTAAACATACAGGCCAAATGTGGCAAGCTATCAAAGCAACACCACATCAAGAAAAACCACAGACGGAGAAAGGCATTGACTAACCCTCCTGTGTATCTGAAAAGTATATATATTTTTCTGTTAAATTCAAATGCCAAATACCTAATTACAAGAGGTGGATCATCTTAGTCATCTGTGCGAGAGAGAGAGAGAGAGAGAGAGAGAGAGAGAGTATTTGCGTATTTGTGCGTGGGAGAGCTACCTGTTAATGTTTTCTGAGGAGTCAACGTCACAATAGATGTCATTGTCATCAAAAGGGACGGGAGGTGGTGGTGGTGGCAGTGAGGGGTCAGGCGCTGTGGACAGTTTGAGTTTACGTTTCACGTCCTCATAATCCACATCCACACACGTGTTAATGATGTAGCCATCTGCAAAGCAACACTTCATTACTGGCTTTAGGTGCTTTAGGTACACAAAATGGGTGGTTTTCAGCATTGTCACAGCAAATATCGAACTACTATAAAATATGGAACAAATATGGGCTGTTTAGTTCTATGGAACTAAACAGTGTTTTACTCACAGGTGCCAGTCAGTGTGCGGGCTAGCCACCTGCCGCCGGGGTTGTTCTTAACCCGTATGATCTCCAATCTGTTTCCCTGCTGAACACTTAGATCGTGCTTGCCCCCCTGCCAGTCGTGTCGAACCCTGGCCATGTGAAGGACCTCTATGTCCCCAGTCCCCAGCTGTGGAAGGGTACAAATAAATACATACAGAGGGTTGTAAAGTGGTGTTTCTAGCCTACAGAGATGAATGAGATCTCTGTTTTGCATTTGAGATTACATTACTGTATTTCCATATTAAGCAAAACACCATACACAAAATACTCATAATAACAGGTGTTTTCCAAAAGAGCATATTCAAAAGTGTAGCAAGTGAGTTATGACAAACAGGTTACTGTTTGGGGGGATTTCTGGACTCGTGAGTGGTTAGCGCATGGAAATGTAGTGTATCACCTTAAATGTATTTCTGTATTTGTTGTCCCTTTCCAGTCTTTCATTTTGTTTTCTCCTCTCCTGCTCTTGCTGCCACCTCAACTCTTTCTGTTTCTTCTTATCAGAACTTGTGTTTTTCACCTCCTGTTCATTGCCTCTGAGATTTCAAAAGACAAGAGACATGAGTGGTCAGTAATACTATTTGCAGTGGAAAGCTATTACGCCCATATAAACATATTATAACAGATATGTGACTATTCAAATGTTTTCCATTAGCCTTGTGATATGGGTTGTTACAAGTACAGTGGGGAGAACAAGTATTTGATACACTGCCGATTTTGCAGGTTTTCCTACTTACAAAGCATGTAGAGGTCTGTAATTTTTTATCATAGGTACACTTCAACTGTGAGAGACGGAATCTAAAACAAAAATCCAGAAAATCACATTGAATGATTTTAAAGTAATGAATTTGCATTTTATGTGTTCTCCCCACTGTATGCTATGACAGGCATTGCGATGTCTACTTGTCAGACAAGCATAAACCCAAGATATTTGAACTCAAAATACAGTATGTAGGCAGGGGATCCAAGTTGTATTGCTATCCTATACTTACTTATAGACATCACTTCCATCGCCCCCCTGCAGCCAGGAATAAAAATATAGATTCAAGGTAAATGTCATGAAAAGCATGTTTTTCAAGAACAGTATTTCAGAAGTAATTCAGAAGCAGTGTTCTGCATCAATGCTCACTGATGGTAAACATAGAATATTCTCACAGAATGCTCTTACCTCATCTACTTGTGAAGAACTATTGTCATTCCAGTCTGTGTGTGAAATAGCAGAAAAGACAATTGATGACATGCATGAACAAGTGATAAACATGTAAAATACATGCATTATGGAATGATGGATTGAGGTACAGTATGTGTATATAATTCAAGCTTTCACATAAATCATACATTCACGTCAACTCAAGATTTCAGAGTCATCATGATTCAGCACTAAATTCACAATAGCTAGTGAATCTCTTGCATGTGTTCATGGTTAAATAGCAGGTATTTTCAGACATACCACTCTTGTCCCAGCTCCCTGGGTGATTTGGGGGTGGAGGAGGTGGTTTCACATCTAGGCCTACGTCATCATATTCCCCCTGGTCATCCTCGAAATGTCTAAGGAGACAACAGGAATCAGAGGGAATAATACAGAAATTTGCCTACCGAGTAATTAAAAAATGCAAAAATATAACAATGATGTCCCAATCTTGGTTCATACTTTCACTTTAACACTCAACACTTAGCATTTCAAGTGAGCACACTCACACTGGGATACACTGCCGAGGTAGGCTGCTGGGCTTGGTTGGAAGTCTTGGGGGGTGAGAGGGACTGACTAGCCCTGGGAGAGACTGACTACTGCCACCTGAGGAGAAGAAACAACCTGTACTGTAGGTCTACAGTAGGTCTGCAATTAATTCAGTATTAACAGATTTATTACAGGGCAGTGTTCTGCACCAGCAGCAGCAGTCTGAGCATTTCTTTTGATGATTCATTTCTTACAGAAGATAAGAAAAAAAAAAGTTTTAGAAAGAGATATGTAGAGGTTTGAACTGGTAACCAGATAAGGCACACAGCATATTTGACCTTGACAGGTTGTAAATTAACAGATAACGTTCCTGTGTTACTATGGTGCTTACAGTAAGTCCATACATGTGTTCAGTCAGTTTTCCCTTTTAGACTTGTAATGGAGGGGGTGCTTTTTCAAAGGAAATCAAGCTGCTTACCGTCAGTCTTCCTTAACCCTGGTCGCCCTGCGAGGTGTGGTGCCCTGGTGTTTCTCTGATGGGCCTGCAGGTTGATGTGGGGGGGCCGTCTGGGCTTTATGGGTCTGGGGCCCTCAGGGGGCAGGGCCCTTCTCAGGGGTGTCACCTCTGTCAGATTTCTCTGTCTGGGCAGGAAGGGGGGCACCGGCTTGGTAGGGTTGGGGTGTACTCCCTTATGCTTCAGCATCATGTTCTGCAGGAGCTCCCCAGTGACTCTCACCCTGCCTTGTCGGTCTGTGTCTGTGGGTGGGGGTGCTGGTCGGGGCAGCTCCTTGGCGGCGATGTGGGGGCGATGTGATGGTGGAAGGTGGGGGAAGACACCATGAGGCTTGGGGCTGGTGGACATGCCCTCCAGTTCAGCCCTTACATGTTGTGGTGGTAGCCTCTGAAGGTCCGGGGAGGAGCTTGATCCAGGAACTGGTGGTGTGGGAACCATAGGCATGAGTTTATTTCGGACCCCTCCGTTTGCTGTAACACCGACGTCTGCCAACCACGAGCCTCCTCTCCCAAATCCTTGCAGTGGAGATTTTGGAGAAGTGCTGTCTCGACTACTTGCCATGTCAGCCTTGGCATGGAACCTGGCCTTCAATGCACGAACATCCACACTCTCCCCCTGACACAGATTTAGCAAGGTGAGAATGGGGCTGCTTAGTTAGTAAGCAGGAAGTTTGCAGAATAACAAAAACAGAGCAACCACCCCATGCCAAATAATCATTCAAATGAGGGAATGCATACTGTACATCAAAACACTACAGGGCTCCTGACATTTAACATGTTAGGTGCAACCATACCACATGTCACATACAAGCCAAACTACCATAGAACCAGTAAGGGCAGATGTTCTGAGATGGAGGGCATGGTACGGCTATCAAGTGTAGGTCAGATTGTCACAGACAATGCACTTGTATGATCAATGTTACCGCTGAAAAAATTGGGAGAACTTTTTAAAAAACACACTGAAAAATCATTACTTCAAGAGCAAAGATCTTGCTGATTGAAGGGTTAAAATAATGAAACAATGAAGAGATGCAGGAAATAACCACACACCTATGAACCTCATGTATCCCTCTGCAGTGGTTGCCATAGAAATGGCAGTCACAGTCATAAGTTGGCCAATGAGGTGCATGTTTTGCTATTGATATTTTTATTGGGACACGCAGAGGAAATGAGAAAGGCTCCGTCTGTTGTGGTACAGACACGCCTATCTGGCATTGTTCTCGAGCACTTGCTTACTCAAAACAGAACTGCATGCCCTTTGACATTTTCATTGCCTCTAGATAGAACATTCCAAAATTGTCTGAAAGAGTTCACAAGTTGTATTATTAACATATAGGCATAGTTTGTGTATGGCAGAGGTGTATCAAGGCTAAAGCTAAATTGGTTACCAAATAATAAAAACCAGATTTAAACAAATATCAAATAAAATAGGAGAAAGTGAGTGTATCCGTTGTGTGGTATTGTCACGCCTACTCGTGCTCCCTCCCTCCGGCGCTCGACGTCGCCGGTCTACTAACCGCCGATCCTGGCATCCCACATTGCGCACACCTGGCAAACACCTGGAAACTACCTGGACTTCATCACCACCCAGATTACTCTCCCTTCATATAGCCTTCATTAGCCTCTGTCATCAGGTGGTATTGGTTTTGGTTACGTTCAGTATGCTTCTCCTGTTTTATATTATCTTCATGTTTATTATTATTAAACTCACCTTCTGCACCTGCTTCCTGACTCCCTGCATATACGTTACAGAATACTGCCTCACGAAAATATGGAAGCAGCAGAAGTTAAGGATATCTCCCAGATGGTCGACGAACAGGAACACCTACTCCGCCAACTGGGTACGGCTATGGATGAGGTCCTCCACGTTCTCCACCACCTTGACAACACCCGAGAGGATTCATCACCAACTAGCGGAGGACCCTCTACACTGATTTGTCCCAGCGAGCCAGTCCCCCAGCCCATCCAGCAGTCCCCCCAGGACAGCGATGCCCTATTGTCCCTCCCGGACAAATATGACGGGACTCCATCGAAATGCTGTGGCTTCCTACTCCAGTGCTCTCTTTATTTCGCCCATCAGACAGGAGCCCCCACCACCGAGAGTTCCAAGGTTGCCACAGTAATTTCCAGGCTGACCGGACTGCTTTGGAGTGGGCTACAGCCATCTGGGAGAGAGGAGAGGAGGAGCTGGGTTCCTATGAGAGGTTCATGGCTCTGTTCAGGGCGTTCTTCGATCATCCACCTGAGGGCAGAGAGGGATGTGAGCGACTACTCCAACTCCGGCAGGGTGCCCAGACCGCTGCGGAGTACGCTCTCACCTTCCGGACTGTGGCAGCCTCCAGCGGATGGAATTAGCCGGCATCTTATTCCGAGCAGGACTGCGCAACGAGATCCAGACAGAGTTGGCGTGTCAGGACGACAACCTTTCCTTGGCAGCACTCATGGTGATGGCCATCCGTCTGGATAACCTACTTCGAGAGCGCCGGCACCCTCCTCGTCTCTCGCCTTTCTCCTTTTGCCGTCCTGAAACAGAGCCTGAACCCATGGAGGTAGGGGCCACTCACCTATCCGCGGCAGAGCGCCGTCGCCGGAGACGGCTGGGGCTGTGTTCCTATTGCGGCCAGGAGCGGCACCAGCTTCAGCTGTGTCCGGTGCGTTCCAACCCGAGGTCCACAGATACAGAGGGACGGCCCCGTGATCATCCATCTCCCGGGGTAGGCATGAGTATTCCATCATCATCGCTTTCCGCCAAACCCTTCCTGGTTTCCATTTCACTGGCTGGCTGTCCCTCATGTATTGTCTCCACAGCTCTAGTGGACTCCAGTGCCGCAGGGAATTTCAACGACCAGGCCCTCGCCTCCTCCCTGAACATCACCTCGTACCTGCTCTCCTCTCCTTTTCCGGTCCAAGCTTTGGATAATCGACCATTGGGATCCGGCACTATCACGCACATCACAGCACCACTCACCATCACCGTGGGACCCCTGCACCAAGAAAGCCTTCCATTCCTCATCACAGAGGCACCTGTACATAAAGTAATCCTCGGCCTCCCATGGCTTCAACGTCACGACCCCATCATCTCCTAGTCGAGGATCGAGATCACTGCCTAGGCACCCGGATATCTGAAGACCTGTTTTCCCTTACACTGTGGTTCCACGTCGGTTGAGAGTCCTGTGGTTGCCCTCCAGCCCAATATCCCAGAGGTTTACCAGGATCTCGAGGAGGTTTTTGCCAAGACCCACTCCACCTGTCTCCCTCCTCATCGCCCCTGGGACTGTGCCATCGACCTGCTAGCAGACTCTGCGCCTCCGCGCAGTCACGTCTACCCTCTGTCGGTGGCTGAAACCAAGGCCATGGAGGAGTACATCCAGGAGGCTCTCCAACAGGGTTTAATCCGCCCATCCACCTTCTTCATGGCCAAGAAGGAGGTCTCAATTCCATCACCACCAAGTACCGCTACCCTCTCCCATTGGTGCCGGCCGCCATCGAACAGCTCCGCGGGGCCCGTTTTTTTAGCGCTTACAATCTCATCCGCATCCGGGAGGGGGATGAATGGAAAACGGCCTTCAGCATTATGTCTGGGCACTACGAGTACTTGGTGATGCCATATGGATTAGCCAATGCGCCGTCGGTGTTCCAGGCATTCGTGAACGAGGTGTTCCGGGACATGCTTGGGCGTCAGGTGGTTGTGTATATCGACGACATCCTGATTTATTCGGCCACCTTGGAGGATCACATCGCCCAAATCCGGGTAGTCCTGGGACGCCTCCTGGAGAACCATCTGTACGTCAAAGTGGAGAAGTGCCAGTTCCATCAGGCCGCTGTCTCCTTCTTGGGATATCGGATCAGCCCGCAGGGAGTGGTTATGGAGGAGAGGAAGGTCGATGCAGTCAGGTCATGGCCAGTCCCAACCACCATAAAGGGACTAAAAAGGTTTTTGGAGTTTGCCAACTTCTACCGCCGCTTCATAACAAACTTCAGCTCCATCACCTCTCCTCTCACCTCTCTCCTCAAAGGTGCTCCCCGTAAGTCGGTGTGGATTCCTGCAGCCGATGAGCCCTTCCGCCTATTGAAGGGGTGTTTCCCCTCCGCCCCGTTGCTGGAACACCCAGATCCTACGCTGCCCTACTCTAAAAAACTGTCTCCTGCAGAAAGGAACTATGATGTTGGCGACCGGGAGCTCCTGGCGGTGAAGTTTGCACTAGAGTAGTGGAGACACTGGCTGGAAGGTGCCAAGGACCCGTTTCTCATCCTCACCGACCATCAGAACCTGGAGTACATATGGACAGTGAGGCGGCTGAACCCACGCCAAGCAAGGTGGGTCCTTTTCTTCACTAGATTCAAACTCACCCTGTCATACCGACCACCTTGGCGTAGGACGTCACTCGCTATGTCAACTCCTGCTCCGTATGTGCCCAAATTAAATCCCCCCGCACACTCCAGCAGGGAAACTCCTTGCCCTTCCCGTGCCTCAACGGCCTTGGTCTCATCTGTCCATTGATTTCGTCACTGATCTCCCCTCTTCTGATGGTTTCACTACTATTATGGTTATTGTGAACAGATTCTCTAAATCCTGCCGTTTTATCCCTCTCTCTGGTCTCCCTACTACTCTCCAGGTCGCTGAGGCACTGTTCCAGCAGGTCTTCTGGCACTATTGCGTTCCGGAGGACATCGTCTCCGACCGTGGGCCCCATTTCACATCACGGGTGTGGAGAGCCATTATGGAGAAGCTGGGGGTCACGGTCAGCCTCACTTCCATGTACTGGCCTCAGTCCAACGGGCAGGTGGAAAGAATGAACCAAGAGCTGGGGAGGTTCCTTAGGAGTCACTTCCAGGACCGGCAGGGGAATGGGCCTGGTTCCTTCTCTGGGCGGACTACGCCCAGAATTCACTGCGTCACTCTTCCACCGGGCTGACCCCCTTCCAGTGTGTTCTGGGATATCAGCTAGCCCTGGCTCCATGGACCCTAAGCCAGACCGAATTTCCTGTGGTGGACGAGTGGTTCAGGCACGCAGAGGAGGTTTGGAACGATGCCCACGTCAGGCTCCAGCACGCCCTCCACTGTCAGAAGAAGCAGAAGGACCGCCACCGCAGTAAGGCTCCCGTGTTCCATCCTGGTGATTGCGTCTGGCTCTCCACCAGCAACCTCCCGCTCCGCCTGCTCTGTAGGAAGCTGAGCCCCTGGTTTGTGGGGCCCTTCAAAGTCCTCCGGAAGGTCAACGAGGTAACCTACAGATTACAACTCCCCACTAACTACCGAATCTCACCCTCCTTTTATGTTTCCCTCCTCAGGCCGGTGGTTCCTGGTCCCCTGGCTGATGCCGTCCCCCGCCCCGCTCCTTGCCCTCGGGGCCTTCCTCCTGCCGGCGTCATCCTGCGGCTGGAGCCACGTATGGGGGGGGGGGTTACTGTCACGCCTACTCGTGCTCCCTCCCTCTTGCGCCTGACGTTGCCGGTCTACTAACCACCGGTCCTGGCAACCCACATTGTGCACACCTGGCAACCATCGTTACGCACACCTGGACTTCATCACCACCCTGATTACTATCCCTTCATATAGCCCTCAGTAGCCTCTGTAATCAGGCAGTATTGGTTTTGGTTACGTTCAGTACGCTTCTCCTGTTTTATATTATCTTAATGTTTATTA